CACACACACACACACACACACACACACACACACACACACATATAATGGCAAAAGAAGTATTGCTCCACCTTCGCTTATTACCAGCAGATGATAAAAAGCCATTTTCACTAAAAAGTATTAAAAACATAGCATTTAGAAAATAATGAGTACTCTTTGTTCTTACTTCAGCATTATAAAGTAATTACTCTTAATGTTAAAATCCCATTAAAAGAGGCAAAACTCATGCTAAAATAAAATGAGAAAAACAAGACAAATTTTTTTGGCAAGGTACATTTTTCTACTACTGAGAATGAAAAATTGCACAAAATGGGGTTTTAAACATTTGTACTATTCTTCATACAAAAAAGTAATTATAGAGCAGTAGTTGTCTAACAGAGCACCAAAAACTTTAAGATTTACTTGCACTCTCACAGTTCCAGCCCAGAAAAATAGTCAAGCATTCACTATCTAAACCCCTCAGTGATAGGGGACAAAGGTGTATTTCTTGTTTTTAATGGTTGTTCTCTGACTGCTCTGTCCTTCAGTTAATTATCAAAGCCGACAGTTTTCATCTCAAGAAAAAAAGATATTCATGCTGTTCTTGTTTGGAATCACAGTGCAATAAATTAGACTGCTGGTGAAAAATGAAGGAAAATAAAAACACAACTGTTTATGTAAGCAACCAAATGTATCATTTACTGCATTATAGCATCCTAAGACCATCACCTACAGCATGGGACTGAAATGTAATATGATCTCCATATTTCTGTAGTGCAAAACAACCCTTCCAAAGGTGTGGGTGTGTCTGTAATTCAGCATCGAATGTTTAAACTGTGACTTGGCTCTGTTTTTACTAAAAACTAGTGTATATATGACTCCATAGAAAAAATAGATACATTTGTGGCAAATAATCTGAGGCTTACATATAGTTCTTTCCTGAAAACCCTGAAGAAATTAAATTTTCTCACACATGGTCTTCAGGATGTTGGACAAAATAAATACATACTTAACAACACAAAGACTGAGCTGGGGAAGTGGGGAATTAAAATTGTGTTGATGTCCTTTTGCTCAGTCTCAAAGAAGAGAAAACTCTAAATTTTATGGTAGTTTCACTTTACTGGAGAAAAACACATCAGCCAATTATCCAGAAAAAAAAAACACATTTGGCTAAAGTGACAAATACATTTCCATGTCATAAAAAGAAACATGTATTTCATCCAACTCAGGCAGAATTCTGACTCCTACAGTTTGGTTCTGTGCCCATGTGACACATATATTAACCAATTACAGTGACTAATCAGCTCAGCTTGTTATGTCTATGAAACACACCAGGCTACAGAATCAGTTTCTCCATGGGTGGGACCAAAAACATATTAAAGGGTGACGCTAGCATCCTACTGCAAGGGCATAACTTTAAGTCTACCATTAGAGGGGTTATTCTATAAAATCCCACATGCCATTTTTAGCAATTATGCTTAAACTTACATATATGACATGGTCAATTTTTAAATCAGGTTAAAGTTACCTAAAGAAAACAAGAGAGCTTCATCTGTCTACTTAACCAGTTAATTTCTATTGCGTTTGAGCAAATGATGTCAGTTTATTGGAAGGGTTATTTTGACTGGATCAAATTATTGTGGGGGTCATAACCCCCTAACCCCCCTGCAAATTACACCCATGACTGTCAGCTTTGTACATGGATGGAATGGGCTACAGGATCATCAGCAAGAATCTTGGTGCGATTATTCAAAAGTTGAAAAAAGAAATGTCCATCACTCGCCTTCTGTTTTGAGTGCCATAAACAGTTTTGACTGATGAGGCAAATTTGATGATAAGAAGGTTGAAGGATCAGCCCACAACTACACAGGAGGAGCTTGTTATTGATCTGCAGACAGTCAGGACAACAATCTCCAAGAATACCACTGGTAACACACACTGTGAGTGTGTCACTTTTACACTGACCCTGATCTGCATATTTACTTCAATTCAATTCAGTTTATTTATATAGCGCCAAGTCACAACGTACGTTCTCTCAGGGCACTGTACACGAGAAAAGAACATTCTAAAGAAGAAGAATTTACATTGGGTGGTTCCACCACATTCACCTCTGTTCTTATTCTTAGAACTGATTCAGCCAAGGTTCCAAGCAAACCTAGTGGAGCTGAAAACTCATTATCAGCAGACTGCAGGTCACCTGCTTCATGGAAGAACCTCAGCTTAGCCTGTTAGCTTTAGCATTAACCCCTACGCTTTCACCATAAATACAGTATGTATTAGCTCAGCGCTACACATTCTCCTCTCGTCACTGAGGTCCTCCATCCACATGACAGAGAGGGGAACACAAAAATGACTCAGCCTGTAACTGAAAATAAGGATGGAGGACCTCAGTTTAGCTTGTTAGTTTGGCACGCTACCACTGAGCTAATACATATAAGGCAATTTAGCATCTGCACTAGCGCAAAGGCTAACAGGCTAAGCTGAGTTTCTTCTATGAAGCAGCTCTGTTGTCCTCCATCTATATTTTCAGTTACAGGCTGAGTCATTTCTACCTTCTCCTCTCTGTCGACACTCTCTGGTTTCATTTAAGAGTCGATCATCAGATATTGTCCAAGATTAACCTTCAGGGTGGATATAGCTCGCTAGCAGCCTCACACCAAGGACTCATCCACGACATCATTTACCCAGAATGCTTTGCGTGTAATTAAAATGGCTCAGTCCATGTAATATATTTTTAAACTTTTAATTTAAAAATTATAAAAATGAAACAGCCTACAGTATTTTTACAGTCTTTATTTTACAATTAAAATAAATGTTTATCAAATAAAGTTTAATGTTACAACTAATCAGTGATCCCTTTAACAGGGAATCCAAAAACTGAATATTTGCAGTAAAATATTTGAAAGCATTTCTTCTAAAGCTTCACCTCCTGAGGTTTTGCAGCTGTGCGTTTTATCATTTAGTCTGTCACTCTCACCCATGTAGCTGATGATGAAACCTTCACCCTTCCCAAAGACAAGACCAGCAGGGTCCGAGTGGAAGGCGATAGTTAGGTCTGGAGTCGTGGAAGACAGCTTGAAGGGGCTGCTGCCTCCGACATAACGCCCCAGGATACGAGTCGTGATCTCATCTCCATCGGTGATGGTCAACATGTCGCTGTCGCTGATGTTCAGTCTGGAAAGCAGTGAAAGACATGCAGACAGTGAGGCAGTGACAGAGCTGTTTGTGGTGACTGCAGTCATGTTGACAGCTGACTGTGAGGAAAACCAGAAGACATTCGTAAATGACTAAGTGCTGAATTTGTCCGCAGGGCAAATGTTAAACAGTTTATTAACACTGTTGGTATTGAGCCTGACATCTTTGCTTCAACACATCCTGGAAATTCTGTACATGCGTTTTGAGAGTTATAAACAAGACATATTTCTACCAAAAGAACTGAAGAGTACAACTGCATTAATTCTGCAAGAGATTATAGTTCATTTGGCAGGCCTGTTAAATAAAATATAATATGAGTTTATTCTTTTATGATCTCAAAAGACATGACAGATGTGCATCAGGAACAGCCTCTGGTGAAAATCACAAAGTTAACCTTGGTAACTTGTCCAAAGTGACAGAAAACAGATGTAAAAACAAACTAGCTGCAACATAACTGAGCATCTCCATTTAAAAAAAGGCTCATTTATTCAAACAGACTCAGTAACCAAAGGCTTTATGAGAAATCCTACATCCAGACCAACATTTTTCAGAACAGCTGATTGATTTGATGACATTGAAAAAGGTTGAATTTTGTTGCTGAGAACTTTTGTCTCTGAGGCCTGATCTGTCATCATGTTCTGCTGGTTTTGGCACTGGGATTTTAAAATCTCATATTTCCTCATTCATCGTGTGTTTTGTTTTGCGTATTGCTCTGTTTTGTTTTCAAGAGTACAGTGCTAGACAAAAGTCTTAAGCCATCCTTTCGTGTCTCTCGTGAACTTTAAATAAAGTGGTCTGGATCATTTGAAATATTTTCTCCAGTTCCAGTTTTTCTTAGCAAATTTCTTGTTTCCGCCCTATTTTTGCGAAGGACTTGAATGGTGAACATTTTCTGGAGAATATTGTTTGTTCATCCACTGACTCATTCAGTTGAAAAAGTCACCTAAAAAGGACACAACATCTCTGCAAGGAGCCAAATTGAATATTATTTTTGTTGCTAGTATTACATATTGAGTTACAGTAAATCATGCACATATGTAATACAATTATATGGTTAAACTTTAAACAGAGGCTAAATGTTTTCTGAGCTCTTGCACTGAAAAAACAAACTTTTGGGTGTAGTAACATTTATTTAATTATCCTTTTAAATTTTACAAAAAAATATCAAAATCTCTATACTAGAATTTACTAAATAAACAATACGCATTATATTATATATCAATATTACTGTACACAAAAAGTAAATGCTAATATTATTT